TAGATATAAAATTCGAAATTGGTTTCAGAGCCAAAACATAAAATATTTCTATGACAGCCTAATATAAAAGTGCGAGTCCAGCGCTATATAAATATGCGAGTATATGTAAGTAAATATATAGTATGCTTAATGTTCCCGTCTATTTCTATTTACACGCATTTATGTGCTTCATAATATTTTATTATCGTTACTATTATTATTTATATTGCTATTATCATTATATGTCATTATCATCGATGTCGCGAGCGGTTTGCATTAACGAGTTATTGTGTTATTTATTTAATAATTCTGACAAAATTGACGATGCGGAATTCATTTACGAAATAATGAATTTCTATAATTGTGAAGATATTAGAATAGCAAAAAAAAATACTTACCAGCGATCTAGATGCATTAAATCTAGAAAAAGATGATAAAATAAAGCCAAACAGTTCTGGAAATTCTAAAAAGGACAAAGTTAGTGATTTAATACTAACAATAAAAACTATTCTGAGCAACAAAATTGAGAGCAAATTGCCTCAGTGTGCTGCTCTCAACCTTTTTAAAATTCCAAGCTCAAAAAAAGCTAAATTTGAGTCAATTCTTGACGAAAAGTTAAAAAAATTAGAAGAACTATTTATTAAAGAAAGAAACATCTTCTGAGAAATAGTAAATAATGCGGCTATTAACATTAGCCCAAAAGTAGAAAGAAAGCAGTAATCCGATTGCAAGACTGAATCGAGCAAGCAACCTGACTGGTCAGAGATTGTAAAACGTAAAATTAAAAAGAGCTCAAATGTTCAACACGTGGCGAATGTTCAACACGTGGCGAATGTTCAACACGTGGCGAACATCAACATGTTGAAAACAAAGAAAAAAACACACAACACTAACATAGCAAATATGAGAACAGTTATAGGCACCCAAACTGATAAACAAACAAATTTGAAAGCGATGAAACCTTCGCCAAAAAGAAAAGTTTTTTACGTTGGTCGATTGGACCAACAACTCACTGCAAAAGAGTTAAGCGAACACATAAATGGATTGAAAATTGAGGTGCTTGGTTGCTCAACAATCAAAAACTCAATTTTTAATCAAAAACTCTTGACACATACGCACTTCTGCAGTGGCAGAAACAAAAATATAAAAAAGCATGGGTATCTGATGAAATAATAAAATTATCAAAAAAACAGAATCGACTGTATAAAATAGCAGTCGCTGCACCAAACTCCGCTAATGTTGAAAAATATAAAAAGTTTAGAAATTACTTTACATCAGTAAAGAGAAAGGCAGAAAAAAATTATTTTCAACAAAAATTTGAAGAGGCAAAGAGTTGCTCCAAACAAAAATGGGAAATAATAAACGGTATAATGAATAGAAAACAAAACATTCATGAAATTAATAAGCTAAAAGTCGACGACAAAATCATCGAAGACCCAGAGGAAATAAGTATTCTTTTCAATGAATACTTCATCAATGGCACAGAGAAGCTGTTAGAAAATCAAATAGTTACTGAAGATAAATTAAAAATAAATAGTGCAATCTGTAAATCAATGTATATGAACTCCACCAATGAAGAAGAAGTAATGTACATTGTTCAAAACTTAAGCAACAAAAAAAGCACGTCAGATGATACTTTAAGTAACAATCTACTTAAAAAATCATCCCACAAATTGTCATCCCAATCACTCATATTTACAATCTTTCCATCGTCCAAGGAATATTTCCACAATGCTTCAAAACATCCAGAGTAGTTCCAATTCACAAAAAGGGGAGCAAATTAGAGACAAGTAATTATCGACCAATATCTCTACTTTCTCCTTTTTTCCAAAGTACTAGAAAAAATAATTTTTGTCAGAGTCACCTCATTTCTGTCCATAAATAAATTATTAAATGATAATCAATATGGCTACAGAGCACAGCATTCAACTGAGCAAGCTGTGCTGCAATTAGCACAAAATGTTATGAATAATCTTAACGAAAAGATACTAACTGTAGGTGTATTCATAGACCTCTCAAAGGCCTTTGACGTCATCAACCACGATATACTGATTAAAAAATTAAATTCACATGGAATAAGAGGAAAAGTAAGTGCATGGTTCAAAAGTTATTTAGAGAACAGAGACCAGTATGTGGCAATAAAAAGTCACTCCTCAACAAAACTTAACGTAAGATCAGGCGTGCCACAAGGATCAATTTTAGGTCCTCTTCTATTCATAATCTTCATGAACGATTTTCAACATGCAACTGATGCAAATCACCTTCTATATGCAGATGACACTAACATCTTCTTCCCAACTAAAGACCCATTGAAAGAAGTAGTATACATCAATAACAGTCTTCAAAATATA